GGGCGCCCCGCAGGCACAGCCGGGTGAGCGCCTGCCGGGATCTGGATGAGGAACGCGGCGACTCGCCGGACAGCGGGCACTGCCCGGGCACCCGCAAGTCCAGCTTCCTCTCCCGCGTCCTCACCGGGAGCCGGGCGGGCAGCGACAGCGAGAGCACCGCTTCCCGCGGCGGCTCCGGGCCCGGCCTCGGCCCCAGCCCCGGCCCCGGCCCCGGCTCCGGCTCCGGCTCCGGCTCGGAGGGGAAGCGCCGCTCGGAGGGAGCGCCCAGCCCGCCGCCAGCCGCCTCGGGACGCCGCGTGTCCATGGCAAGTAGCGCCCGGGACAGCCCGCGGGAGGGGGGCGGCGGGGGGCCGCGGCACCCTGTGCCCGCCCTGGGGAGGAGGGGGCGAGCCGGGGGGCAGAACGGCTCGGGCAGGACTTCCAACACAGCTCCAGCGCCTCGCAGCCTCCCGGACAAAGCCAAGCTCCCAAACGCTCGGCCTCCTTCTGTGGTGAAAGCAGCAACACCGGGGAATTACTGAGTCCCGAGGAGCAATATGTCACCGAATCCCAGCTTCTTTATACTCATTCCATCATCCCAATCAACTTGACGAGGATTGTCACAAGGAAAACAACTTCAGCTCCAACCACTGTAAGAAAGAGAAGTTTTGAATGCAATGAGTTACATGACACAACTTCTCTCACTTTCAGGTTTGTCCCACATGTGACCTCCAAGCTGAATGATTGTTCAATGAATAAATCAAAAGATCTACATGTAAAAACTCCCACCAAGTAATTGCAATGCCAGAGCCGATGACTACAGAATTGCTTTTTCAGCAGCTCTTCCTTTTCTTTGGCCACCTGCTCTAGGCTTGCTTACAGTCATAATGTTGATAAGGTATAGTGCTTGCATTCAAGAATCAACAAGGCTTTCTTAAAAGTGATTTGAATTCACAGGTTTTGTTCTTTGAGAGCATAGAAGCTCCTTTACTATTGCTTGCAGTAGCAAGCCCATAAATACCTTTTTATAGGCCATGTAATAAACAAGATTACTTCACACAATGCTCAAAGTCATAGATTCTGTTCAATTTTTTCCTTGCTCTTCCTATGCACCCCACACCCCTTTTTTCCTATATATAAAACAAGAACACCCCAACCAACCAACCAACTTCAAATTTTTGTGGTAAGAAACACAAGGCACCGTTACGTTGCCCATCCAAAAACTGTTTGTAAGTTCCAGTTTTCATGGGGTTACAGTTCCTACAATAAGCCTGTGAGCATAAACCATATTCAGTTGTCAGGGACAATTTAAGCACTTTCTACTTCAGTCTTTCTAATACAGGGAGAGGGCCTAGAGCAGTCAAAACAGAGCGATCTGTTGATCTGCTGGCTTTTGGTACTCAGATAGAAGGCTCTTTAAAAAGGTGAAGTGCAGAAAGGTGTTCAAAGCAAGACAGAATTTCAGTAGCACTCTGCTGAGAACTCACAGAAGTTGCTTGGCAGCTTTTCCTGTGTAATGACAATGATTGTACCTTCCAGGGGAGATCTTCAGAGAAATATATTCAGTTCGCAAAACAGTGTCATTACTCTTGAAAGTAACACTCTTCCAGCATGCTGTCTTTGGAGATCATTATGTATAGGACTTGTGCTAGTATTTTAAGATGTGACTGATGTAGGTATGCTACCTGGTGCTTCCTGCTTACAGCATGCAATATTTAAAAGTACATGTACTTCTTAATACAATTGAGGCAAGGTTTTGGCAAATGCTTGTATTCTGGCACTGCTGCAACATTTTTATGAATACTGATTTCAATACACAAGTATGCTGGTGCCTCAAAAATATGTTGAACCTAGGCATTAAAACTTGAGTACTCGTACAATCTGTATTCCTCAATTCCTGTATCAACTATTTTATTTGGTCGAAGGCACTCAGCATTGGTTTCATTTGTTTTAACTTGATTTCCAGAAGACAATAATTATGTATTAATGGTAGAATCATAGAATGATTTGGGTTGGAAGGAATCTTAAAGATCATCTGGTTACAACCCTTACCCTGTCAAGGGACACCTTCCACTAGACTAGGTTGCCCAAAGCCCCATCAAGCCTGGCCTTGAACACTTCCAGGGATGGGGCATTCACAATTTCTCTGGGCAACCTATGCCAGTGTCTCACCCCCATCACAGTAAAGAATTTCTTTCTACTAAACCTACTCTCTTCCAGTTTAAAGACATTCCCCTTTGCCCTGTCACTACATGCCCTTGCTAACAGTCCCTCTCCTGCTCTCTTGTAGGCTCCCTTTTACTTACTGGTCACCTTGGAGCCTTCTCCAGGCTGAGCAACCCCAATTCTTTCAGCCTTTCCTCATAGGAGTGGTAATGTTTAAATAAACATTTAGATTCAAAATCTATTGATATTTAAAAAAAAAGAAGTACTTAAAAGTAATTATATTTAAAAAGTTCCAAATGAAGCATACAAAAACATTACCTACTGCCATCCCTGATTAACAGTGACTTGCAGCAGTAATCCAGAGAAAACACAGACACTTTTTAATATAACAGTGAATCCACATGCACAAACATACTCTAAACAGCCAAAATACAGTCTGTTCTAACCTTAATTTTACTAATCTAAGCTGGGTAGACTAACAGCAGAATTGGTGCTGTTCTTCAATTTTCTTTGATAACTTTCCCAAACTATCATCTTTAGTTCCGTACTGGTTCAAGTTTTTTCTTTTTCCCCTCATCTGCACCGTTCTGCCAGAATTTGTCTGTAGCATTCTTTGAATTTGTATCAATGAGAGAGGAGTATAAACTCAACATTGAAAATACCACTTTCTACAGCTCAATAACCATTCTAGCAACCTCCAACCAAATACGTACCCATATGTTCTGTGCTAAGGAAAGCTGCAGCTGTCCACAAACACCATAGTTTTCTTCCTAACTGAAAGAAAACCTAAAAGTTACACAAAATCCATCCATCTGGTATTGCAAGAGTCTTCAGACGAGTCAACTGCACTCTGTGAGTTGTGGCATCGAAGGCACCGAGCAAGTCTAATGGTACAGTTTATGGATGCTTGACCTTCAACCAGTGACGAGCTTTTTTTTGGCCAGTATTATCAACACCATTTCCACACCAAAACTGAATCTCTAAAGAGTAAATAACAATTATTAGGGACAAATAAATGTTTTAAAGGTTACCTTTCATTATGTATTGCATCCTTTGGATCAAACTGTGAAGACCAGGTGGTGGATAGTGATTGGCCGGGTCATACAACAGGATTTTTTTCCTAAGTACAAAACTGCATCTCTCAAAGAGAACAGGAAGTTTGTCTTAGGACTTCCTCTTTGGAGGAAAGGTTACTTTGGACCTTTAGGAGAGAATGCATTTAATTCTTCACTGAAAGCCCCTATGAAACTGTGCAGTAGGATATTGAATACAAAATCTATGTTTGGCTATCAGGATTCCTCAACTTTTCCAGACTTCAGTTCAAACCAGAACAGCTCCATATATAAAAAAGAAGAAATGCCCTTCCCATTGGTAGGATTTTTACAGACCAACCGTATTTGGCCACAATGCAAACTAGAGTCTATTATTTAAAACTTCCTTATCTGGAATTGGTGGAGATGAAGAGCCATTTCGTCATTTCACATCCAGCTGCAGCATAAACCCCTGACAAAATATTGATATTGAAATTGTTCGGTGTTACACCCAAACCACTCATTCTATTTGTTCTGTTCCATTTCTTTTATGCAGCATTATCCAAATTAAACATTATTTGGACCAGGAAGCCAAAGTGAGAGAGACAGAAAACCTAAAAAAACTTATTTGACTAAAGATCCATTAGGAAAAAAAATAACTTTTTTTGAGCCACTGCTGGTCAAGCTTTAGGTTTATTAGATTCTGAGGACAGACCACCAAAACTGGACCTTCAAGCACATAGCAAAGCAAAGGTAGAGAGTCAATGCTTAACATGAGGGTCATTTCCAGCTGATTTCATTCCACCTAAACACGATGACAAGAGCATTGCTGACTATATGGATAAGCTAATCTCAGTATAATGTTACAAAAGGCTACACTGACAGGGGAATCCAGCAACTGTGTACCGGTGAAATCAGACTATCTGCAAGCCTCTAAAACTTGGTCCTGAGGACCACAGTCAGCATACTTTGAAGTGACAGAAAACAATTTGTTCATGGATAACTGTCTCCAAGCCAATAATTTCCAAGGTTCAAGTAGAGTATTACATCTTAGAAAATAAACAATATTTTATCTTCTAAGAGATATTGTGGGTATAATATCTCTTAGTTCTGCCCAAAGGTTTGCATCTCTCACCACATTTTAACTTTTTTTTAAGGGGAGACACAGCTATGGAGCGAAAGGGCATATTCTGCATGGTCCCAGGCTGCCAGACTCAGGTGCAGCAGGCCTTAAATGGCAGCTTTTCACACAAAGCTGAGTAAGAAGAGCTTCACTGAATTTAGTATATCCATAATCATTGCTGACAACCAGGAGGTAGAAACACAAAGGTGTGTAGGAATTATGCTGCTATCAACAGGAATCTACACATGAATGATATTATGTGAAAAAAAACAACCAAAACTCATAATTTGCACCAGTCAGAGTCTTGACTGGTGGATAATACATGCTTAAGCCTGGTAAGATGAATAGACTGATGCAGTCAAAGATCAGTATATAACGAGTACAGATACAACTTGTGCTCTCTTGAAAATAGGCAGGGCCAGGAATTACAGCCCAGAATAGGCAACTGTCTCTTGCAGCATTGCACTGAGGGGGTTTTGTCTCACAGCCTCTGCTGCAAGACTGTCAAGCCATTAGGACCATTGAATAACTCTCTTCTTATCTCTGGGGGCATGAAGAACAGATCTGAGCACTCCAAATGAATGGTTAGAGAAGACGACAGCTTTACTTCCAAAGGCACCATTTACCAGAATCAAGTTTTCCTCTTCACCCGTTTTCTGCAAACCAGGGAACGACTGCAGAATGATCAGAAAGCTCAGCTGAGATGACCACAGCCTGACAGTCCATCTTCAGAGTGTCACAATGTCTTCCCAATTCAATAGCTGAATGCAAGCATTTCTGCAAAAGCTGGAGGCTGTCTGGTATTTCATTGCTAGCTGGATTTGATGTCTTTCCTAGCTGTGTTTCCTGCCTTTCTAAAGCAGAGGACTCCAGCTCCATGCTACCTGAGCAGGATGTCCAGCATCAGTCCTTTTTGGTCTTTATCTATATGATAGTTTTCTAAAGAATTCTATGATGTGCTCTAAAACCTAATAGTTTTAATTTGGTTAAATGGGATTAGAATATTTACACTAGATTGGCTACTCTCTTTACAAAGGCACCAACTTTCAGATGACTTGGAATTAATTATCATATTTGCAACCCATGCTAAACCACTGTACTAAGAGAACTACTGTGCTCTTGCTAGAGTACCCAAAGGTATTCCAGGAAGATGGGGGGCTTGACATTATCTAATGTTTGTGTTTCTTCATGAAGCCGTGATAAGTTCCTAAATCAAAAAACA